TGTGACATCTTTTCTATCAGAGTTAATGTGTTTCATGAGGTGTTTGTGACATCTTTTCTATCAGAGTTAATGTGTTTCATAAAGTGTTTGTAACACCTTTTCTATCAGAGTTAATGCGTTTCATAAGGTGTTTGTAACACCTTTTCTATCAGAGTTAATGCGTTTCATGAGGTGTTTGTAACATCTTTTCTATCAGAGTTAATGTGTTTCATAAGGTTAACACCTTTTCTATCAGAGTTAATGCGTTTCATGAGGTGTTTCTGACATCTTTTCTATCAGAGTTAATGCGTTTCTTGAGGTGTTTGTAACACCTTTTCTATCAGAGTTAATGTGTTTCATAAGGTGTTTGTAACACCTTTTCTATCAGAATTAATGCGTTTCATGAGGTGTTTGTAACACCTTTTTTATCAGAGTTAATGCGTTTCTTGAGGTGTTTGTAACATCTTTTCTATCAGAGTTAATGTGTTTCATAAGGTTAACACCTTTTCTATCAGAGTTAATATGTTTCATAAGGTGTTTCTGACACCTTTTCTTATCACAGCTAATATTTTTTGATTTAATTAAGCTCGTAATTTCGATTTACTTCAGAAGTTTGGGTTAATGATAATCTCTACTTGTTCGGTGACAAGAGCAATTAAAGTCATTTTTAAATACTTTGCTGTCATGATGTGGATAATCACTTTAACCCGAGAGATAATCAATGCTTTAGAACATAGATTAAATTAAATACTTCTTGGAAATAGACTGTCGTCACGTTATGATTAGTGTGTATGAAACTTTTACAATTCATTTAAATCCTTACAGGCAGTCATTAGAAAGACGAAAATCACGTGCAAGTGTCACGGAGTTTCCGGTTCCTGTTCCCTGATCACGTGCTGGCAAGAGCTGGCGAATTTCCGTGAAGTCGGAGATCACTTGAAAGATAAATATGACGGAGCTACAGAGGTGATGATAAACCCACGAGGAAAGTTACAGGTTCGAAACCCCCAGTACAACGTCCCTACAGCAGAAGACCTGGTCTATTTGGAGGAGTCACCCGACTATTGCGTTGATGATGAAAACACGGGTTCCTTAGGCACTTACAGGCGCCAGTGTAATCGCACAGCCCCGGGCACTAATGGATGCAACCTTATGTGTTGTGGGAGAGGGTATAACACCCAAAAAGTGGTGTTGAAAGAAAGGTGTGCATGTAAATTTTACTGGTGTTGTTACGTGAAATGTAAAACATGCACGAAAATCGTAGATCGGCACACATGCAAATAGTATCGCTACTGGACTTTAATAGTACGTTTTGAAACATGGAGTTATATCTTACCGTAACTCACCAAGTTTACAAATAGTATCGCTACTGGACTTTAATAGTACGTTTTGAAACATGGAGTTATATCTTACCGTAACTCACCAAGTTTACATATAGGACTTTCTAGAATCTTCAGCTTTACAAAGAAGTTTACCACCATTAGGGTTGAAAATAATTAGTTGCTGGAATAAACAGGTGACAGAGTTAGAAATATCGGAATGTTCACTGATATAAAACGGACAGTATATTTGGTTTAGGGATAAAAATGTATTTCTCATGCTATGTGAACATTTAAACAAGAACACGAGTTTTGTAAAAATTAAGAAAATAAATCATTCCTCTTTAATGGTCTGTCTTTTTTAGATCCCAGTTTCAACTTCTTAACATTTTGTTATTTTGAAGGAAAGACATTCGTGTATCAGTATTTACATAACATCCTCGAGACTAATAATTTATGTTGTTGTATATCATACCCAAACAAAAATAGGTTAATTACTACTGTAAACAAACATGATTTAAAACCTGTATGACATAATGTCGTTACGTCACGTAAATTTAAAAGTGTAGGTCTTAATGTCACCACATCACGTAAATTTAAACTGTAGGTCATAATGTCGTTACATCACGTAAATTTAAACTGTAGGTCATGATGTCGATACATCACGTAAATTTAAACTGTAGGTCTTAATATAGCTACATCACGTAAATTTAAACTGTAGGTCTTAATGTAGCTACAACACGTAAATTTAAACTGTAGGTCATAATGTCGATACATCACGTAAATTTAAACTGTAGGTCATAATGTCGTTACATCACGTAAATTTAAACTGTAGGTCTTAATGTAGCTACATCACGTAAATTTAAACTGTAGGTCATAATGTCGTTACATCACGTAAATTTAAACTGTAGGTCATAATGTCGTTACATCACGTAAATTTAAACTGTAGGTCATAATGTCGATACATCACGTAAATTTAAACTGTAGGTCTTAATGTAGCTACATCACGTAAATTTAAACTGTAGGTCATAATGTCGATACATCACGTAAATTTAAACTGTAGGTCTTAATGTAGCTACAACACGTAAATTTAAACTGTATG